TGAAATGTGCACAGTAGGCAAATCTGTAGAGACAGAAAGTAGATCAGTGGTTGCCTAGGGAAGAGGGGTTGGGGAGAGATGGGGAGTGACTGCTAACATGACTACAGACATGTGTGGTGATGGTTGCACAACTCTGTGAATATAAAAAAGCCACTGGATTATGCACTTTAAAGGGGTACATTGTATGGTATGTAAATTATATTTCAATAAAGCTATTTTTTTAAGACTCCATGGGCAGTTCTGCTGCACACTGTGATTCAGAACCACTGCCCCACACCTTCTAAAGTGTGGGACAAAAACTCCTGAAGAATGACAGAGCGTCACAATCCTCCTGAGCCGTAAGAGAGACAAACGCCACTAGGAACAATGAGTGGATGACTACTTCAAGGCGGCTCTCAAATCTACATTGAAGTCGACAGACCAGATTTGATGATGAAAATAATTCAGAAACCAAAAAACTATTTGCAGCAAAGTGAAGCAACACAACAGATCTTTGTGGCCCACGAATTAAATTGCTAACCCCACAGGCCTGTGGAGAGAAATGCGGGCAGAGAGGCCCCAGCGTGGCATAGGAGCCTGGACCTCAGAGCCACAAGAGCACCATCTCTCCATGGCCGATGACTGAGCAGGGGGCAGCACACACACTTTTACCAGGACAGATTTCATCGTGGACGAGGCCCCACAGAACTCAGGAGAGCCTCCAAAGCTCCAATTTTTAAAGAAATCGACTTCACCATCAGCACTGTGGAGAATGGTAACCTGGACCTGCCCTGGACAAAGCTTTCAGGGAGTGATGGTCAACCATTCACCCTCTGTGCCTTCCCACCTAGAATGTTCCTTCCACCTAGAATGACCTAACCTTCTCCACCCCTCCTGAAAACCCTGCCCATTTGCTATAGACTGAATGTTTGCATCCTCCCAAAATTCATATGCTGAAGCCTAAACCCAATGCAAGGATATTAGGAGGTGGAGCTGTTGGAAGGTAATTAGATCATGAGGGCGGAGCCCTCATGAATAGAATTAGTGCCCTATTAGTGCCATATAAAAAGGGACCCCAGGAAACGCCCTCTCCCCTTCTACCATGTGAAGTTACTGCAGAAAGACAGCCCGTCTATGAACCGGGAAAGAGCCCTCACCAGACAAGAAATCTGCTGACACCTTGACCTTAGATTTCCAGGCTCCAGAACTGTGGGAAATAAATTTCTGTTGTTTATAATTCACCCAGTTTGTGGTATTCTGTTATAGCAGCCTGAATGACCCAAGACACCATTCTTCAATATAAAGTGAGCGTTAAATTAGATCAGAGAGAACAAACAGGTTTTTCTCATGTGGTAATTCTAGGTCACTGGTAGTGGCTGTCCAAGGCCACATTAAGATTCTGAAACAAAGATCTCAGTGGTGAGGAGAGCCAGGGTGGGGCAGAGGGTGGGGTAGGCGTGGAGCTGGCAGGAGGAACACTGAGATTAACCGTGTGGACGAAGGAGGGACACACAGCCCACACCCTCGCCCCCTCTAAATCACATGATTTTAAGCAAGTCACTTAAACACTGCATGCCTCAGTTTCTTCACCTGTAAAATGCAGATAATCTGAAGCTTATTGGGGAGCATCAGTGAAATTATGCATTTTTCTTTAGAGCTTCAAGCACGACTCCTGACCTGCGCTCTGTAATGCCCGCTTCCTTTCTCACGGTTCCCTTTTCTATGCTTCCCTTCCTTCTTCCTGGAAGAGGTGAAGGAGTCTTTTAAAAACAGGACAAAAGAAAAAATAATGTGACATTGAAAGGATACATCCAACAGGCTGACCATTTCCCTGCAAGTGTTGATGTCGAATCCGTCGAATTTTATATCTGTTCCTAAAGATTTAAATAGAAAAGAGGGATCCGAATCAGGATCATTTGAAGACAGGGGAAAGGACCTCCATGGTAGGAGCAGAGTGTGGCGCTGAGCTCAGTCTCTGCAAAATGTGGAGAGCCTCCTGGCGGGCTCGTTGGTGGACACCCCCGAGGCTCCTTGTGCCCTGGGGGACCCTGCAGCGAGCACCAGACCGGGGTTCAGTGCGTGAACCTCAGCTTGCCACTCACAAGCCACAGACTTTGGCAAATTAATATCTCTGAGCTTTAGTTTCCTCCTCCATCAAGTGGGAGTGATGATAATGACAGTACTTGCTCCAAAGACTGGTTGGGCATTAGTTGAGATAAGTGAAGTCCCAGCCCAGTGCTTGGTATATAGTAAGTTCTTCGTAAAACAGCTAACTTTAGACCAGCTAGGTATTGTTCTAAGCACAGTACATCTGCTCTTCAAAATAAACCCATGTGGTAGCTGCTATCATTATCCCCATTTTATAGATAAGGAAACTGAGGCCCAGAGAGGATATAAAAGTTGCTCAAGGTCACACAACTAGTAGGGGACAGAGCTGGGATTTGAATGCAGGCCATCTGGCTCCACAGCTTGCACTTTTAACCACAACACACAGCCGCTCAGCGACAGCTGTCATTCTCATTTGCTAAACAGAGGCACCCACCATCCTCACCTTCCTCGTGCCTGGGAGCCAAGACAGGCGCCAAATACCCCGCGGCCCCTTCCTCTTCTCTCTACTCTTCTTTGCAAGAGAGGAGCAGAGTCGAAGAGCCATCCGAGCAGTGCCTGGCTCTGAGCCCTGGTGCTGCTCAGCCCAAAGGGGTCCCACCTGGCACTCCCTGCATTCCCATGCACGGTGCTGCTGTGGTGGGTGATCAAGAACCCATCACTCACCCAGCTGGAAGACTCAGCCTGGCCCGCCACTGCACCAGAAGAGAAACCAGCTCCAAGCCCGCACTACAGGGCTGGGGCTCAGAAGAGGAGGAGTGAACCTTTCCTACGTGGTGCAGTTTGACCCTCTGACAGCCCCCAAGGCTTGCTAATGTCTGGAGAGCTGAGCACAGCCTAGGACGGTCAGTTAGAAGCATCCCTTAGACCTCCTTCTGCAAAGATGCACAACAGAACAAGATCTTTAATCTACAGAAGTCTCCACATTATCAAAGTTATTGATTTTATGGGAAAAAATCACTCAAGTCACTCCCAGGCCAGCATCTTTCCTCCCAGGACTCAGCACATGATTTCATTCAACACCACAGGGCCCCCATTCCTGCAGGGTCTGGCTGATTGCCAGCACAGTTCTCGCCCTCACCTCCTCCTCTCCAGCCCCTCCTGCCTCCTGGCTCATGTCTTCCTTAATCGGACCCTTGGAGCCAGAGGCCAAAGCCCCACCTGCGGTGCTGCTGGCCCAATGCCTGCCAGTCCCCTCCCTCACGCCACCCCAGCATCGCTTTTAGGCTCCTACAGGCTTTCTGAAAGTTCCCAAGGAGGAACTTACGTTTAGAAAACGCGCCATTCAGAATCGTCTTGAGTTCATTGGCACTGATCTCAGAATCCTAGAAAGAGGAACCCAAGTGTGAATCATGTCAGGCCCTGACAAGATGTTTCATTCCCTTAAATGAATGTGGAGCTTCCTCCGTGGTCAGACACCAGGTCTACCAGCCCTGTGATTCTAAAAGCATGTGACACCTTTAAAAACTCAAATTCTCCATTTCCTCTGGGGTCCCCAACAGCCTGGCTGGAGGCGCACGTTGACGTCGTGAGCTCGGTGCATGCTGGTCGGAAGGCTGCCACACGGGGGTCTTGCTGCCTCTCCTAAGGCTCGCTTAAACACAGAACAAAGTGTGACAATAACAGGAGCAAGGATGTGCCACACATCGATGTGGAATATCCTCAAATCCTCTAAAACAACTCTGCACCCAGTTTGGAGTGCAGATTTTGTGATTTTGTGAACTGGTAAACACCATTCACATACACAGCGTCATTTGTCATTTTAATGTGATATAATTGCTTGGGGTTACAGCTACCAAGTGGCAGAGCTGGGACTGGAAACCTAAGATGGTCTCACCCATGCACCAGCTTTGATTGCTGGACCTATGGGAGCTGCTATTTCCTACATTAGCCCCTCTCAAAGCGGGACTCAAGGTTTAGGGGGACAGGATATCCCATCTGCGTTTGGGATAAACACTGAGCCAGAGTGTGGATGTATCCCTTAACTTTCAGATAGGGGACAGACCTCAGGCAGGGTGATGAATGAGGTGCAGAGAAGGGGCTGGACTACGGGCTGGGTTCCATCTGGGCTCCCTCCCTAACTCACTGTGTGACCTCACTCCAGTCACTTCCCATGCTCCCACCCTCCACCAGCCAGGCCCAGCAATTCCACTGGAAATGGGAGGGACAAGAGCTGCCCCAAGCAGCATCTTCTGTGGGGACAGCTGGCCTCATTCAGGCCCAACAGTAAGACCTGAGGACCTTCTGAACAGCCTCTGGCCTAGAATACCACCCCATTAGCCTGCCAGGAAAGAAATGGGGTGTCAAAAGTCTACTTTTGGACCTTGGCCACGTCCCTCTCGAGATCTGTGCCCTTAGCCAGCTCCTTAACCTCTCTGTCCTAGTCACTTCACCAGCGGAGTGGGCAGGGGGACTGATACTGCCCCACGCAGCAGAAAAGCAAGGGAAGGCACATGAAGAGCTGCGCAAACAGGAGCTTTGATTTTCTGTCACTCTTGATGTTCTTAATAAGACACAGGCCCTTGGCAGCTAAGGAAACAGGTTTTGTTAGCAGAAATACCGGTCTGAGAACCCATCAAAAACATAAATTGACTCATTTTTGCAAGAGTTTTCTTCGATGGCTTTGCAAAGGAACTGTTCCCAGGTTTTATTTTCTGCAAAGTTTTCTGACGTACTTTCTTCTATTACATCCTTAAGTGTATGAAGTCGCCTGAGTTTCTCTGGGGGTGAGGAGCACTCTTTTTCCTCTCCCAGGGCCCTGTGGGCACATTTTATTATCTTCCAAAGAGCGGCACATTCACTGTATTTACAGTTGTGACGCCTGGAGTTCCTGGTGTGATCTGACTGATGGCTCCNGAGCGCCGCCGCGCTTCCCAAGCGGTGCACTATCCAGTGCGCCACCGGGCCGGCCCTTCTGCAAAGTTTTCTGACGTACTTTCTTCTATTACATCCTTAAGTGTATGAAGTCGCCTGAGCTTCTCTGGGGGTGAGAAGCACTCTTTTTCCTCTCCCAGGGCCCTGTGGGCACATTTTATTATCCTCCAAAGAGCGGCGCATTCACTGTATTTACAGTTGTGACGCCTGGAGTTCCTGGTGTGATCTGACTGATGGCTCCACAGGACTGGTACCAAATGAACCCAAGCCAGCAGGGGAGGCTGTGGGCAGCTTCCTTCTTTTGCTCCAAGCACCCCGAGTCACACACATGCTGGGGCCAAGCTTGGATTCTGCAGGCGAGCACTCCCAGAGGGTGGCCGAGGCAGCCGGACATGACAGCACCCCCGGTGTGACTGCCTGCGCCAATCCCAGGCCAGGTTAATTGAGCCGCCCTCCACCCAGGATGGGCAATTCCACCTCTGAAGGATATTGATTTAGAGAAGTCATGCTGCCCAGCTCTCTAGTCGGAGGCCAGGTCTGACAGGGCCAATTTACAAAAAGAGAGGCTTTTGGCAGGACCTAGAGACCCAGCTTTTCCATTTTTCTCGAGTCAGTCAACACAGCAAGAAAAATGGCCTCGGGACCGTGATTACTCTCCCCCAGCGTGGCCCAAGCGGTGCAGAAGAGACCCTCAGCCCTGAGACAGGCACAGAAGCTGCAGGCCCTGACACCTGCAGCCTAGCCCAGTTGTAAGCTGAGACCCAGGAAAACAGGCTAAAGGGACCTGAACTTTCTCCTGCCCATCTGAAAGGCTGTATTTGCCCCCGACTCACCTTGCCTGCAAGCTTCTCAAATAGGCTCTTGAACTGGCTGTCTTCTTGGTCCACCTCACTGGGATGTGGCTACCAGGAAGGACAATTGTAAAGTTTAAATGGGAACAGTTGAGAAGAATGGAAGCAGAAGATTTGAAATGCACCCATTCACCCATTAGTATCTACTGTGCACCTGGCACATGCCAGGCTTTGGGCTAAGTGGGACCTTGGGTAGTAAACAAGAGAGACACACAAAGCCCTGGCCCAGGGGCCTGATGGTCCTGCAGGATGCAGGGCTGGGGCCCAGGGGCCTCCTCTCTGGGCAATGTGAGGAAGAGAGCCTCCCCAACCCTGCACTTCTGATTTCAACCCTGAATCACTTTCAGAGGACGACAAAACACCGACATTAGGGAATCACAGCCTGGGTCTGTGGACTCCTAAGGGATCCACCAATGACCTTCAGGAGTCTGTAACTCGAGAATTGCATGAAAATTTGTTGATATGCATTTTCTCAGCTTTCATCAGATTCTCAAAGAGCAACATGATTAAAAAGCAGTTCACATGGCCTGGTGGAAACAGCAGACCCGGAAGCCAGGAGACTGGAGTCCACACGGCTCACCGCATGCCATCCACAGCCCAGCACTAGTGCTACATTAAACAGGCCTGCACCACAGGTCAGAGGAGAGCCAAATGAGAGCTAATGTGCGTGCAAGTCCTTCGGAAATTACAAACAGTTATATAAATGCCTCTGTCCAGAGGCTTCCCAATAACCAAAATAGAATGATCCCCCAACTGTCACCATCAGACAGCGGAAAAGTCACAGCTTCCCAGATGGCTCGAAGAGTTTCCAGAAAGCCAGTCAACTTCTTCCGAGAACCGTCACTAACACAAGTACAAAAGGCCCAATATGGCCTGATGACACTGTACTAAGAATAACAACAGTAGCAATAATACTACCACTGGTAAGACCTCACGACTCTCCTGTGAGGTTGGTCTCGTTACTATCCACATTTCACAGATGGAGAAAATGAGGTTTAGAGTGTTAAGTAAGAGGCCAAGACTGCACAGCTAGAAAGCGGTGCAGCCAGAACTGGACTCCAGCCCGTGCACCCTCCCCACCCTCCGGCATGACAACAGTGCCGATTCTCTGCACCCCGCTGCTCCCAGCCTCTCTGGGGCTCTGCCTCCTCATCTAAAACATGGAGATCCTAAGGTCTACCACACTGTTCACATAGAGACGAGCAAAGCCAAAAACACATCTAGATTTTTAGAAGAAAAAAATGATACACTTATCACACATACGTGCTTTTAAAGTGGTTTTATATTTTAAAAAGACATTATATTTTTCATGTAATATGCTACACCAAAATCTAGTGGAAAGGCCCTAAATTCTGGACAAAGAGTAATATTCTATTATTCCAAAAAAACATATATAAAATTGCATACCAAACAACAACAACGAAAGCAGTATAGGGGTAAGGATACGTATGGTACATAGCAGTCACTCAGCCACTACCGGGTATCACAAACAACAACAACAACGAAAGCAGTATAGGGGTAAGGATACGTATGGTACATAGCAGTCACTCAGCCACTACCGGGTATCACTGGACACAGGGGAATTTCTGGAAGTCAGGGGATGAGGAAGATGCATCTATGAAACGGCAAGTATGGTACTCCACAGTTTGTTCATTTGTTCATTCAAAAATGATTTACCAGACACCTGGCATGTGTTGGGAACTGTTCCATACCTTATCTGAATGCAGTGGTGAACAAGTCCCGATCCTTGTTCTCAAGGAACCTATTAGAGTGGAATTATCTGTTGTCCTGGTAGAATATATGTGCAAATGCTTTGCAAATGGTATGATAGCATGGCAAAAGCAAGGAATTATTTTCTTATTATATCACGTTTTTTTTTTTTTTTAAAGATGACCGGTAAGGGGATCTTAACCCTTGACTTGGTGTTGTCAGTATGGGTTTTTTTTGTTGTTTTTTTTTTTAAAGATGACCGGTAAGGGGATCTTAACCCTTGACTTGGTGTTGT